CCCACAAGATCGATGATCTCCGCTCCAAGTCTATGAAATCATGATGTGCACAGGGCTGTACATATTCAATTATCCGAGTCACCGTGACGTTGGTGTCGGAGAGGAGCGGGAAAAAGAAGACAACGCACGTAAAATAGCAGACGCATTGGCAAGACCCTTGTTCTCAAGCTCAGCTCGAAGCCGATTGCTAGCCAATTTCCGGGTGTGCACGTTGTCGTATACTAGTACTCCCGGGCCTCGAGTCGTACGGCAGCATTGAAGCTATTCAATGATCTGACGATGCTTGACCCTCGCCAACTCATTCCGGTTATCTGTGTGGTGATCGTACATGCAGTGAATTTTCCAGAAGAGTCCACATATAATTGCGTAAGTGAATCCCCAAGTGATGCCTGCCGCAAAGGTTCATCAATGCGAGTTATGATTGGAGGACTGACCGTTGTCAAGCAATCCAAGGTTAGTATTTAAGCCAGAGAGTGCGAAGTACTGTGAAGATATTAGTCTCATACACGTGGCAATTCAAATACCATACCAGAGGCAAAACATGATCGTCACCATATATTCGAGCTTCTCCGTTAGTGCGATAGCAAAGACCGCTTTCGTGGGGAACAACGAATCCTGCCAGGAATCCCCCTACATCCTAGATAAGTATTGAACGTCTGGAATAGGTGACATCACTCACCGAAGAGTCGCATTGGCGATGACCACGGCTAGTGCCAGCAGACTCCAGCCGACTGTGTCTTCAACGTGGGTCCCGATATCCCATGTATCCGACTGATGTAAGACTGTCATCGTATGAACACGTTTTACCTCCTCACTTATCCCACGCGCCAATGAGGGCACGGCAAGACAGTGCTTCTGCAATCGAGACACGTTTCTTTTCGCCTCCTGAAACACCACGAATGGCAGCATCACCGACAACAGTGTTTCGCGCATGACGAAGACCGAAGATGCGCACGAGGATATCAACTACATCACGATTAAACTGTTCACGGGTTTGGTCTATGAACCGAGCATGTGGAGTACGCATTTTGATGGCGAAAGACAAGGTTTGCTCTACAGTCAAGGTCGGAAAGTGGACATCATCGTCAGGACAGTAGATCACATCTCCACGATACTGTCTTGCGATATCTTTGGGGGTGAAGAAGTCATAGCATACTTCGCTCTGTATAGCATGGTATTCCCCACACTGGTTTGCAATAGGAACGTGCTGCAACCGGAACCAGGTCGTCCGAGAGCTACTGTCGCGAACACGTGATTAGCGCGAAAATTTAACTTCACGTTAGTTCATTAAAACGACTAACGGAGCATTTCACCAGGCGCAACGATACCCTCGAATCCTGAGAAAATATCCCTGACAGGCTGGTTGCGCATCGCCGAAGTGTTCCTCAAGATGGCAGCAGGATTAAGCATAGAACCGATGGTGAGCTGTAAAGAGGCACGTGCACCGACACCGACGATACGGAGATCCTTGAACATAACGCTAAGCTCGCGGCCCTTAATGGACTCTTCGCCACGACTAGTAATATATCGACAAACGCAACTAATTTCTTTATGGCGGAACTCATCGTCTGACGAGGTCTTTGAGCGTGACTTCAAAATCGAAAGCATCATCATCGTATGCTGGAATCACAGAGGATGAACTTGGAGTGTCGATGCCCTTTGCTGAGGCAGGCATAGGAGGCTTGGGTGAACTTCCGCGACGAGAGCTTTCCCGATGATTAACTTGAGAACGTGTGGAACGTGATGTCATTGTGCGTTTAAGTTCGCTAACACCAACTGGGTCAAAAAAATTGACTGGAACGCGAGAGGGAGATGAGTGAACACCTTTGTAGGCCTCATCTTGGTGTGGCTCATCCTGAGGAATATTAATTTCCAGCTGAGAGTCGGGAAGACTCGTGATGAGGTTGAACGTAAAGGAAGGGGAAATGTTTATGCCCAAACGAGGAGCAAGCCATGGCAGATGATGATATAGTTATTATAGTACTTCTGCGAGGTCATAGAGCTCGCACGGAGACCTCCAGCCGTAGCAGGACTCTCACCCACAGAAGTTGAGAAAAAAAATTGAGCCTGAGTCCTCGCGCGAGATCCTACTAACTGAAAATACCATCACGCCGTGACAATTCACGCGCACGTGCATGTCTCCCACGAGACGGGTGGCAAGCCGCATCATCTTTGTAAAATACATCGTCTGGCTTGCCTCATAGACGGGCTGGTGTACTTGCTCGTATACCAGCGTGACTTTCAATTGGTGTTGTTGATGAAACCTATGTAAGAAAGAAGATGATTGAAGCAGTATTTACAGTGTACACTCCGATTTTGCCAACTGCCAGGTACGTGACTAGTACTGACTACCGTGACGTCGGGCCGCCGTGACAGACTAGTAGACTCATCGGATGTCTAATCCAATGGGTTGCATGCTAGACCCGTGCCTACATCTTCTCAGAAGACCTAGTCAAAGTGAGCACGCGTATCTACGAATCCATTGTGTGTCATCGGGTGATGTCTAATCCATTCTCTCGCATATTCTGCACCACCGTGGCAACGTGTACCTTCCAATAGAAACTGTTCTCTCTTCGTCTATTCACTTGTTCACGCATATGGACTTCTGGCAACATGCACTGGTCAAGAGTCCCAACGATTCCTGGTTGTGCGACCACGGCCTGCTGGCCAGAAGGAGTTCTTGGGTTACCATACTCGTGAGTCGTGATTACTATCTCGAATATGTCATGAATCAATCAAGCGATGTGCAGAACCTGCTAGAAGTTTCAGAGTGTGGGCTTGAAGACGTGCGTATACCAAACAGATTGTGTCGTTTGCGACCTGTCAATGTATCATTATGTAGGACTGCCCCATGTTTCATGGAATCAAAGACTACATCACACTAGTCGCTGGAGTTACCTTGACCGGGGCGGCTGCGACTAGAAACGATATCTCGGACATAGCCATTTGTTGGGATGGCGGAAGGTAAGTGCTCGCTTAGTTTATGGCGAACTTTCCTTGGAATCTCAGTGTCATCATATGCAGACATCACGCCAAAAAAGCATGGGCTTCAGCTTTTTGTTACATAGCTGATTGCGTTCTCGCCATTCTTTTCCTCAAACGAACAATACCGAAACCACGTGTGACTCGATGTATCTCGACCTCGACCTTCATTTTCCAGATGCAGCGTCACAAGCTTTTCACAAACCCGGTTCCACGGCTGCTGCTCAAGTTCTTGTGCGTGCACCTCGAATCATTGACAATATATGACCCAAAGAATTCTTTTTAGACACTATCTATTCATCACGCAGCTCCAGGATTTTTCCCTTGTTCCCCCTCGCTTCCCTTCCGGACGTCGATGATCCGGCCTTCGATCCTTTCACTTTATCAGTGCCACTCAAAGCTCGTGCACCCAACAAAACATTCCTCCGCATTTGGCCTATCATCGAACATGTCAAGGACATCTTTCGACCTGATTTCATTATAGTTCAGTGTGGCTTAGATGGCCTAGCGGGTGATCCCATGGCAACCCTCAACTGGTCCTTAAGGCTCGCTCGGCTGGTGCATGCATCGCATCATCCGCGAATGGCAAGGGAAAAAATGTTACTTGGCGGAGGTATGATGCTACTTACTAGAATATCTTCCCGCATACCATCATCTAGGCTTTAGGTGGTTATGACACGCCCAATGCCGCGCAAGCTTGGACATATCTCACCTCTGTGGCAGTATGTTTGAATCTCAGGTTCTGGTTCGTCATATATTGATACATTGTGTCTAACAGGGAGGAATTCCGCCGTCTCACCAGTCTGTCACGTGCATTGGTGCTCCAACCAAACACTGACTCATGAACGTGTTTCGTGTCTAGCTTCTAATACATGGCACAGAGGTGTGATACGTCACAGCAACACAACTATTTTCCCGCTCTACAAATATATGCAAACACATGTTGTCGATCCTTATGCAAACGACTATTGACTCGGATGGTCCGTCAATAAACTCCGAGTAAAAGTTACTCAAACTTCGTAAGTAATTTTTCTCTCAACTACTTTTCCTCCGCGGTACTTGCCGTGTCTTGATTCTGCCGCCTATTTCGTTCTTCGCCGTACGCAATAACATCAAGGACGGTTTGCCAATCAGTGCCGGTTTTCTCCCGGCAGATACGCTTAATAGCCACCGGGGTGGCATTCGAAAATACGTTCAAGTTCTCCTTGTCGACGATGTCGATCCCTGCGAGTGCAACCTTTCTCTTGCGAGTCTGGCGGTGGGTACTGGTAGCACTAGTACTAGCAGTGCAAGAATCTTGAGCTTCACGTTGCACCGTGGCTACTGTGACGTCCGAACAACTGGCGAAGTTGGGATCGGCTCCAGCTGTCTTCTCCGTGAGTTCGAGTCAGTACAACGAAATAAAAAATGCGGCTGCAAATACTTACTGCCCTGTGAGTCCTCCGAGTCATTGTGGCAGCTTCCCCGGGCCAGGCCTGACTTTCCGACGCAGACTCAGACATCTTCAAGAGGTTGTCCAAGCAAGTGCTGACTAGGATCTTCTGTTGAAGACACATTGAGCATGTTGCAACCAACGCATTTGAATGAGTATTCATACTTCTTCAAGTTGATACTTCAGAGGCAAGGCTAGCGCATGCTCTTCATTTCGGGTGCGAGCTTCAGTCTTCTCCTTGTTGACAGGAACACTGACAGCGGTTGATGATTCGGGTGACTCGGATTTACTCGGATATTCCGACCCCTTATCACTGGTCACAGGATCAAGTACCAGCATGGAGGGTTGATCCGAGTCACTGCCCCATGCATCAGCATGGGCATGATCAAACATCGTGTTAGAGGATCGGAGTTGATTTAGATGAGTCAGACCTCAAGGGGTGAGCTTTTATATTGGTTATGTGACTAGTGACGTACTGCTGTAGGGTAGAAGTTCTGACGCCATACGGACATGCTCCCTGAGGTATGCATAGCCTCCGCAGCTCATTAATTATCTTATTTCCAGATTAGTAAAGTGAGTTTCAACGTGCTAAGTTATTCCCGGATTAGTAAAGTGAGGTTCCCAATTTAATATGTGCAGCTCGACTTCGCCCAGCAAGGTTTGCAACAATAAACAATTTCCGTTTCGGCAAAGCAGAGAGGTAGTACTATACTTGGTTCTCTCGTTGGCTGCTGAAGTAGATCTATACGTCAAGTGGCTGACAAAGCACAATGAATCATACAAAAAAGCTATCTCTGCTCTCAGTTTGAACTATATTCTAATTATAAAACCTAGGTCCTAGGAGGTCCTCTCAGCTCATTCCTGTTTAGGATATGTACTGGTGTGAGGCGATAAGAGGTATGTATTCACTTTGCACGAGTTCCAGGAGGTTCAAACTCCGAAGAGCCTATTTACCTCACGCACGGCAACCGTCGTAGCACTTCAACCTAGGATCTCCAGGATCCCCGTGACCTTACGAGTTGAAAATTATGAACTTCAACTTGGTTCCATCTTCCAGTAACGAGCTTGAAGCTGAAGCTTCATGCAAACTCCCCTCCACGCCTCCTCACTCTTGTTATCTTCCCACTGCTGGAACTCCCAGCCAATATTCGAGTTCTACTCCAAGCTCTCCCTCATTAGTTTCTGCAACAGGATCAGGTATGAAAGACTAACAATTATATGTCACTGGGAGAAATACTCAAATACGAAAACAACAGCAGCCAACGACACAGATGACGATATATTCCCTTTGACACCCAATTCGAAGAGTTCGCTCCGTGACCTCAACAGTCCGTTTAACGGAGTTGAGCTGCGGACTCCAAGTTCTCCTCAGAGCAAACACTGCGATCCTCCCCGTTGGACACATGATTTGAAGACCAACATATTTTAATCGATTGGTAGGCAGACCTTTCGAAGTCGATGATTCATCGGGCACCATCAACGAGAATGTAAGCGTTGTTTCAAGTATTCATATTAATTCTGATGAGTTGCATCATGTTTAGGCTAGGGATACATATTTGAAGATTCTGGGAGAACTTGGCACAAACTCCTTTCTTGTGCTGTTCAATACCTGGAAGCAGTTCGTGAACGCTGTCGCATGAACTACCATGCCGCATGCTGGGAAGTCTCGGAATTCGAGAGGGGGAAAGCTCTTGCTCGCTCCATGTGTGAAGATTCAAAACGCGACTTCTCGAAGGCCGAGCAAGAAGTGCAGTATTAATGGAAATTTTTCATCAACGCCTGTCATTGTCCCGTTGTGGCGCCTTAGGTAGTTTTTGTCCCACTGAAGTCCGCGACAGTATCAGGACTTCTATTCGTCGAACGGATGCTGTACTCGGCATCCTAAATGATGCCAAAGAGATGCGCTCTGCGGATAGCTGGTATGTGCTACCTTAGGCATTATTTGCGATCATTTACATGCTTCTAGAGCTTGTCCAGAGCATAGACGATCGATTGAGATGGATATCTCAATTGCATCTTATATGATATTGCCATTTGTACCATTACAACTCCTTCGCAATACCAGTAGTACTAGTGAATCATGTCTGTTTATTGGTAGAAATCACAACGCTGGACGCTTGAAATATTAATTTGCTTCGTCTAGTAGACAAGTCACATTTTTGTATAATTTTGAGTAGTGACTTTTGATATGTACCGATCATTGGCTTCTTCTCACCATAATCCTGGTGCCAACTTCTCAAAAATTTTACATCCGAGTCCAACTGTCCATGGTACTACTAGTTGCAACTTGAACTTGAAAGGCATCTTGGCAAACACGGTACTAGCTAGCTCAAAACTGCCATGCGCTTTTCCAAAGCGCTTCAGTTTGTATCGGTGTATTCTTCTTTGTTTTGATGGTGTCTTGCAATGCTCCGGGCTGCTCCTGGGAGAGGACCACAGACAATCGGGGACTGAGTAGGCATCGCGCATCCTGTTGTTTTTTCAAGAGAGCCAATAGTCTCGCGAGTCGGAAACGACAAGATCGCGCAAAGGAGGCGTTGATACGCTTTTCCAAAGCAAACGCCACTGGTGAACCAGTCGTGGCGAGTCACTCCTTCTTGAACCTCCTGTATTTAAAAATCATCAAATTTGGCAGGGGCGCAGAATCTCTTTCGTTGGACATGCAGCCGCACTGAGGGACCGTCCAAATCTTAAACCGATTACTCCTAGCAGACTCCTTGGACCAATTTCTGTAGCTCGTGATTTATGCAGTGCGTCCATTCCTGTGCTAGACTCACAGCACACCCTTGGCTCAGAGACGCCCCAAATTGATCAAGTTGATGTTGAGATGACGGGGAGTGGTTTCTTGCACTAACCATGATTTAGGTTCGTGCCCCTCAGGCTTGGGCGCCACGATTCTCTGAGGTACCTACCAATTACTTACTCTTATTATCATTTCAGATGAACGAGCACTCCCAATGGGACGAATTCCGAGATATCTCGATAATATCAGGCCTTCGCCGGACGATCTTAATCATTCCGATAGAGCAGGCATTCCATCATCACAAACAGCTTCACTACCTGCCCGATCCCGAATTCGACGTGTTCTTTTAACCTTAAGAGACACCCTCAAGTCCACCTTCAACTCGTTTGGCCTCTGTCGGCTCTATCCACGTCGTCCTTCCTTTGAACCAGATCAGTTGATTCAATCCTCACTACTTGCCAGAACATCTCCGAAGGCTAGTGCTCAAGAGGCTGATTCTCCAGCAAAAGTCTTCGCGCCGCCTTACCCTTTTCCCAACATGTCTGTCTATCGACTTATGTCCTGGATGCATTCTGGGGGCAACTTATTATCAGAAAACAAAGTCTCGCACCTAGTCAAAGATGTCATTCTAGCGGATGATTTCGACCGCAAAGACTTTGAGAACTTCTCGGTAAGACAGAACTTGCGAGAACTGGATATGGATGAGAGTGGAAAAAGAGTTACTTTCCCAGACGACTGGGTTCAGACTGGCGTCACCATTAGTATCCCCACGAGGACAAGCGAGGATGACCCACTACCTTATACTATCCACGGATTCCATTATCGACCTCTCATTGAAGTCATACGCGCGGCGTTTGCAGATGTGCAAGCTGGAGCATATCATCTTTTCCCTTTCAAACGGTTATGGAAGGACCCTCTAGACGGCCATAAGAGCGGATCTACGATGAGTTATATACCTCGGATACCTGGCTAGAAGCTCAAGACGAGATTCAGAGGCTTCCAAAGGAACCTGGATGTTCACTAGAACATGTCATCGCCGGTCTGATGTTCTTCTCCGATGCTACTCATCTAGCAAACTTTGGGACTGCCAAAGCCTGGCCTCTGTATATGTACTTCGGTAATTTGACAAAATACGCCCGATCATCACCCAAGTCAGGGGCGTGTCACCTGGTCGGGTTTCTACCTTCAGTACGTGCCTCTGAATGTGCATGCGTGTTTACACTTACTGTAAACGTTAGCTTCCTGACAGTGTCAAAGACGTTTTGAGTAGACTGTCCGGCATATCGAAAACGGGCATGGCGTCTCTGCATACCCACTGCCGCAGAGAGTTATTCCATTCCTGCTGGGACATTCTGTTAGATGAAGATTTTTTGTCTGCATACCAGCACGGCATTGTTTTGAGATGTGCTGACGGGGTTTTTCGGAGGGTCTTTCCCCGAATTTTCACGTATTCCGCGGATTATCCAGAAAAGTGCATTACCTCATGGACCTTATCAAAACATTGAATCACTCGTAAATTTACAGGGTTTTAATCGCGACTATCAAAGACATGGGCTTGTGTCCGTGCCCTCGTTGTCTGACACCCAAAAACCTGTTTAATTTTCTTGGGCTTTCGAGGGACATGAGAAGTCGTGTCGCCAATCTTCGTGAGTATGTGATGGCGAAGATACTCAAAGCTCGTGCTTTTATCTACACGAACGGAAATACAGTAGACGGTGTCAAGGTAGAGCACACCCTTGGAGAAGGCTCTTGGGTACCTACCCTGGTAGGTGAGATTACTTTCATCACATTTTCTTATCGGCTCACGTAGTCTACTCGCAGAATAAATTCGCCCAGAAACTCAGACCGCTCGGTCTCGACTCATTCCGCATGCTTGTAGTCGACTTCATGCACGAGTGCGAACTGGGCACCTGGAAGGCGTTGTTTATACACCTCCTCAGGCTCCTTCACGCCCTTCCTCGCGGTAGTGAGCTTGTCGTGGCTCTCGACAGCAGGTACGAGGACCTCATAAGCTATATTGTTGTTTGCTAATAGGCGTCCACTCCCTTGCAGGTTTCGACAGGTCCCGACCTTTGGCAACGGCGTAATTCGCAAGTTCTCAAACAACACATCTGAGATGAAACGATTAGCAGCGCGTGATTTTGAGGACATTTTACAGGTTTTTCTTTGTTACTAGTTGTTGACATTTGATCCGCTGACAGCTCTTTTTTTTTACCAGTGTGCGATCCCTGTCTTTGATGGGCTGTTCCCCGCTGAACATAATGCGCTCGTACAATCTCTGCTGTATCGATTCGCAGAATGGCATGCGCTGGCGAAGCTTAGGATGCACTCGGAGTCCTCGTTACATTTTCTCGAAGAAACTTTCAAGAAACTGTCTCGCATATTGCGGAAATTTCGAGACGGCACTTGTGCGGCCTTCAACACTTTAGAGTTACCCAAAGAAAGAACAGCTCGTCAACGAAGAGCTGCTCAACATTCTGAAGCGAGCGGCGTCATTCCGGAATCAAACGGGCCAAGGGCGAAGAAGTTCAGCATGGGCACTTATAAATTTCACGCCATGGGGGATTATGTTAAAACCATTACGCTCTTCGGGACCACGGATTCCTTCACCACTCAAATCGTACGTACGGTCTACACTACATTATGCACCAAAATTAAGTTGTATCAGGGGGAACTTGCTCACCGAGCACTGAAGGCCTTTTATCCGCTCACTAGCAAATTAGATACACCAGCGCAGCTGGCCAAACATGAACGCAGACGCCGCGTATTACGGCGAGTGGCAGAAGTTGGAGGAATCTCATCCTCTAGCAGCCAACCACCATCCAATGCCCCCCCATCGGCATCCTACGACAATCATCACTATATCGTGATCACTCGGAACAACCCAGTCGATATTTTTGCATTTCTCAGAGAGAATAACGGTGATCCTGCCCTTAAGGTAACAGTCATATCTTACTTTGGCGGCACTTGATCATTTATCGTAGTAACGGTCAGGATTTTGTTCCCAGACTGAGGGATCACATCATCTATAGGTTGCAGGAGCTAGATGTTAGCTATTGCGACCACACGTTCACGGATGAAGAACGAAATTCTGTCATTATTCCCAATAACACGATCTATTCCGTACAGACTATGCAGGTGCACTATACGACCTACGACTTGAGGCGCGAGTACGACACGATCAACCCAAGAACTCACGCGGATGTTATGGTTCTTTCAGGAGAGACAACTCCCAGCCATCCCTACTGGTATGCCCGAGTATTGGGTATCTACCATATGGAGGTATGGCTCACCAATGCGGGTCAACCAGTGAAGCGGCATCTCGAGGTACTCTGGGTAAGATGGCTGGCAGTCGTACAGAGTTATAGATCTGGCAGTAAATATGCTCGTCTTCCGAAGATTGGCTTTGTGGAGGAGTCCGACCGCGATGCCTTTGGTTTCCTGGATCCTGGGCAGGTAATTCGAGGGGCACATCTGATCCCTGCATTCGCCGCAGGACGTGGCATAAGCTCCCTGCGCCATGGAAAATCACTGGCGCGTCCTGGGGAACAGCTGGATGACTGGGAGGAATATTATGTTGGGATGTAAGCACAGATCTTCCAGTGGTATATTAACACTCACATTTTGAGCCAGATTCGCCGATCGTGATATGTTCATGCGGTATAATCACTTAGGTGTTGGACATTCTGCAACACTGCGGAAGATCATCAGAGGTTGCCTGGGCTCGGTATCGGTGGCGTTGACCGATTCTATAGACAATGTAATTGAAGGTAATGAGGGCGACGCGGGCTGTGAAGAGGCAGGTAATGGTGATGGCCACGAATACGACTATGACCTGGACTCGGAGGACGAAGAAGAATGTGATGAGGAGGAGCTTAGTAGTGATGAAGAACTGGATGAAGGAGCTATAGAGAATGGTGACGGTGACGGGTATGATGAGGATGGTGACGACGATTACGATTATGTCTCTTTCTAAAGCTCCTTCCAAATCTCGTACCTGTACTCCAATGCCTTAAGTCTTCACGAGATAGAAACTGTACTATAAGCTCGATTTTCTTTACTGTTGCCAGTGCATTATCGTGAGTACGGTATACCGTGCCCATCTGAGTCTAATAAAGTACCGTTAGTAGCGGCATGTCACACTTTCACCAGCGCTGTTGTACATGCGGCCGCAGTCGCTACTCCTACCTTTCTTCTCGATTGGCACGCACATCCAACCTCACTCAGGCTGATATTAGTTCCAACAGCCGATCAACATTATGTACTGACCCTTTCGAATTCATTCAATCAGGGAATATCATTTCCTTTATAACTTGTCAGGGGGGGTTCTTATTCGGTAGGTGGTGCAATTTTTTGTTTACCATTGTTTATCTTCCTGTGTGCAGGATGACTCCAGTCTGCTGGCCCCGTGTCCCATGATAGTGACGGCTACTCAGGCTTTCTACCCTTAGTAAGTGAAACCCATCCTTATTATTCATGGTTGTATTTGTAAATTCTTCGTTGTGCTATCATACTGATGGACTGTCATGGTGGTGACCGCTTTGTGAGATTTTATAGTTTATCTACCATCTCCGAGTCATGATTGACCAATTTTATTTTGCTTGCTAGATCAGTGGAGAAAGATTTGCACTTTCTTCAATTACCTCTTGACCACCCAGAACTGCCACTGTCAAAGTGGCAGGTCCAAAGGGGCACCACTTGATTGGGAGAACTGCCGCAACGCAGAGGTCCTTCAACTTGAGCTTTCACGGGCTCTTGATTGCAAAGAGCATGATCATACGACTACCCAGGCAATATCTTCAGTACATCCTTAAGTTTCAATGCACTCCTGATAGCTAATCATGGTCACTATTTGGCTCATATAGATGGTGACAAATGGATGACACTCTTATTCATGCAGCATCACCATAACCTGCACCCGATCTGAGGCTTCTGCATCGTTGGGAGCAGGATTGCAAGCAACTGCGGTAAGTTTCATCACTTTATGGTGCTGTCGTCTCGGCTGATGGGTCGTTATAGCACCTTGATACCTTCTCTGGGGGTCGGGGGCGACATTCAGTTTCATGCAGACTGATTGTATCAGGTAAACCATGACTTTGTTCGCTATTATGATCATTCTCCAGGTATGCAATTCGTCTCGCGTGCGACACCCTATGTTTAACAGTTTCCCGCGATAGGTGTTGGCAAAGTCAATTAACTGTGGGTGTAAACGGTCTGGTTACCATGTCTCCTCACATCCCTCACGCGATCTGCATAGTTATATCAAAACAAAAGGCGAGGGTGTTGTGGTCCGTCCATGGATCTGGATATCTCATTGGAACCGATTACGGGTTACTTGGCATAGTATATTTACATTGGGGTGGGAGCGATATTCGGTAACTTACAATCTCGCTCACTTACAATCTCGCTCATCTACTTTCCAGACACTTTGACTCGGGCATGAGGAAGATATTGTCATACAACTGGTCTTCAAGCATGCTCTCCGAATTCAAATGAAAGCTGAGCTCCCTGATTACGATAAATCTGGGGAGTCTATGACGCCATCTACGCCAGATAATGCACATGTGGCTGGATCTACTAATTAGACATGCGCCTATGAAACTCTTGGCTGGAAGGGCGCCTGTCTATATTGAGTCTGGCCGTTTACTGAGCGCCTCTGTCGGCCTATTATACTTTTCTTGCATCTTCTCTCGGGGTACATCGGAGATTTGAAAGGTTTCAGAATAGAAAATGCACAAGGTTAGCTCTGTTTTCTCTCATCAGTCGATCCTTTATCTCAATTCAGGCTAAATCATTAGCATCGTACAACCCTGACTCCGAGTTATTGTCGATGGGCAGTTGTTGAACAGAGCCTGAACTAGATGGACGCTCCACGAGTAGGCGAGCCCGCGAGCCAACGACACGTTGAGCTAGGGCTTTGTAAGCACACATCTCAAATACGTCTACCGTCTCTAAACCTTTTCTCGATATTTCCAAAAACAAACAAGTCTTCAAACGTGACGCAGAAAAGATCGCGGGGTCCATGTCATCACATTCCCTCGCGAATCGACTCTCCACCGGTTTCAAGTACCGAGGCAGCAACGGAGGGACCATGAAAATCGAGTTTATACGTATACAGGTTATAGGATGTGTAGTTGCTAACTCATATAACATGTTTAACATTCAGCAGAACGAAGATTGGGATATCTATGGCAAATCGATACGAATGCGTGAGTTTTGTAGTTTGACAATCGTCGCATGGAGTCTCACCAGATGCCCTGGCTCACATCTTGCACAATGCTCTGAACCTCTCCTTCAACGTCTCCCAACGTCCGAGTCCCAGCGGGACCTCCGCATCACCACCCGCAACCTCTACTTCCGGTTGACTCGGAGTCCTTCCCCTTCGCCCCCGCCCCAAATGTGCTTGTGGTCCATGTGGCGAGTCAGGATGCTGGATATATCGCGCATATCGCTAACATCTATTTAGCAATGATCAACGAGCAGATAGCAGTGGCACTCACCGCATACACTTGAGTTGTATTGCACCGTGTCAATCGGATCGACAAATTGATCTTGATCATTGTATTGTACTGGTAGGATGAGTGTTTCGCGAGTGAAGCTTTGAAGTTCGGTCTTTTTGGACAGTACTAAGTACCGTCACAGTTGTGACCGTGTGACATTCTGTTACAATCAGTGCATCGTCTCGCGCTTACCATCGTCTCGCGTGCATTTCGTATCGATTACATTGATCACACAGAGAAAGTTCGAAGTTCCGGTAAGTACAGTTCAATCATATCTTGCTCAAAATTCTCATTCTGTTGTGATTTAGCGTGTTTCTTGAAAGTGTTTTTGTCGACGTGCACTGGCAGGGCATCGTTATACGTACGCACGAACTTCGACTACATTGTATGTGCTCCCGTTCTTATTGTTCATTAACAACTTATCCACTATCTATTAGCGTGCCCATGCCTGGTAGAGACCATACTTGCGTCTGCCAAACGATTACGACAAGGCTATTGACCTATACTCTACGGCGATTGACCTGAATTCTACATTCGATACCTTAGCAAATCGCAGTAAGGCAAAGTTGGGGGAAATGCTATGGGAGGATGCGCTCCTCGACATGCAAAAGGTGCGATGACATCTACGATTTCATACCCCATGTTGACTTCGGCGATGCATAGGTCACTGGACTCAATCCGTCGTCTCATATTGGATACCAGTTGACACACACAGTGCTGCGTGGCGCGCAACGCTACGATGAAGCCATCGAAGCCTTCACAATCATGTTGTCGAAGTTGGACGATGCTCCCAAAGCTTAGATATGAGGTAAGCCATAGAACATTCCTGCATCGTCTCGAAACGCTTATCTCGTTCTGTAGATCTGCGTCAGCAGTACGTCTGTCCATCGGAAGCATTCGAAGAGCAGTTTGGATTGAACTCAACAATACTCCCTTCGTCTGCTCAACACCTCTACGGGCCTTTTGTGCGACCGAGCAGCATAGCTGAACCCCTTCAAAACAAATCCAGAGTACAAGGAGTTTTTGTCATTCACAACGAACCGCTCGGATCTCCAAATGGAACGCATCAAGGAAGTGGTGGCGACCAGGATCATACCTTATCGCCAAGAAGTGTAGCCAACTCGACAACTCGCGTTTCTGGGATGGTTCATTCCCGGGCGTCAACACAAACGCTGCTACGCTGGGCGGGTTGGATGGTTCGAAGGGCCCAAAGTTCAAGGGTACAGGACGGCGAAAAGATGCATTTTGAACCCGGTGATTGGGGCGATGGAAGTTTCGACGGGAGTGAGAGTGCACTTCTGAAGACCCTCTTAGGGGATGCTCGGGCTGCCTACTAAGTTGCATTAGTTGCGCGATGAATTGGCACCTGCCGAGTATATCCGACTGGTTTGTTTGTGATACTGATTGTGAATAATTCTTATGTTTTAACCTTCAATTGCTTACTATATATTGTATCCTCGCTTTTGTTCTGGGTCTCTTGCCTTTATTTCAGTCCGATATTTCGAGTGTTTCAACTAGTGTTTTTTGACCATGCGTACGGTATACCGTGATGCCCCTTGTACGAATCTCCTCGTGGAGATGACATCATAAGCTTTGATTACTTCAATTCGTGTTATGAATGGGATACGCGTAGCTTTGGCATCGGTGAACTGTGAAAAATAGCCTTGTAATTTACAACTTGAATTGGGAAGTGTGAGAACGTTCAACCAGGTTTACTGAGGTACCCTGCCATCTCTTCCCGGCTGTAATGGCCCAACAACAATACATTATTGCAAACTCTCCTGCGAGTACATATTTGATGAACATTGCCAAACCCACTTTCCGTGATATAGTCTTAAATACCCTTCTAACTGAAAGCTCGAATGAGGGAAATGACAATGCTCGACAAGGCGAATACACCTACACTATCATCCCTTACCGGCCATGGTGTTACAAAGTCGTGACCTTGTCTCGGAATACTAAAAGTCGTCTAGGTTCGCAGACTTACATAGCTATATAGCAATGTTACAAAAATTTTATACTATAGATGCCCATACCTAGCAGGAGCAAAATTATATCGTTCTATAAGTCCCACGGGTACAATATCGAGGACTCCTCAATTCACTGATGACGGCTTCGCGACAGTACGGCATAGACATTGAATGGGGTGAGCCCTGCAGAGGGTGGGTTTGTGATGTCTACGACTAATGGTCTGCCCCTGCGATCTGTAGGAATATGCTGCAGTAATAGGCAATTGTCACCTACTGGTGAACTTCATTTCGCGGCCTCGAACAGCTGAGAATATTTTTTCTAATAGGACCAGCGGTAAGACATTCTTTGTGGCAAGCCCCTCGAGGCTTAAAACGATGCAGCTTCTCCACTCGGAGTACTCGTGCAGGCGGTTCCACGATTGGATCTGATTGTGAGAATGCCTCTTCTCGTTTGTTTAAGGACGATCTTGATACTTTCTCCGAGCTCCGGTGCCGTTCGCAACTTTAAGGTCAGTTTCGACATCAAGAAGGTCACCATCACTATCTGTGTGTGCAGCTTTGAGGAGTACCGTGACTATGTGACCGACTCCTGTCTTGACTCTTCTGATGAAAAGTTTCCGTGTTCTACCGAACGACAGAACAACCAATCAGAGGCTGACTTGTGCGTGCTCAGTCAGTTCTTTGTTTGCTTGTACCCGTTAAAGGCGTTTACAGCGAGCGCGGGAGCAACGAGGAGTCTAGAACGAGAAAGATCTCAGTGTCTTGAACGAAACTCTATTACAAACGGTGCGTCTACCTAGAACGAGAAAGCTACAGCTAACGTTAGACGTGTTAACAACTCTAGGTGACTTTTAGAACGTACATCTCAGTGTCTTGAACGAAACTGAGATGCACCTGCGCTACTGGTACTGGTCTTATAGTAAGTGCGTCAGGAACTTGAATATATGAATGAGAGACTGAAAATAATCTAGGATGCGAGCCGATGTCACTCCACCGCTCGCCTATGTCCATTTTGGCTTGAGCTCGTACCTATCACCTCCTGGACATCCTTATCTCGGATCCTTCGGCTTCTCTCATCTCGGACGTCTCGGCTTCGTAGTCCAACACCCGTACCCACTAGTACTGCCCAGGGGCCAGAATCCAGTAGTATTGTCACTCGTATATCATTTCTTTGAACTTATGCCATCCACACGCTCTCGCCAACTCGTATCGTATATATCTTACTGTACAAATTTGTACTCCTATTCTACTCCATCGTGACTGATGCTTTGTTGACAAAACTAATAGTGATCATTCAAACAGTACGATGCCGACGAAGTTCGATCCTTTCCTCTGATTCCGTGACGCAACTTACACATCGGGGTTAACATTAATGAAGGCGTTGCATTCAAACTTGTGACGATGCTATTTGTTCCGCACTTCCGACGATGAACGCGACGATATCGTGTGGTCATTCAAGTTGATCCTTCCGGGAGAATCAAAAAAAAATCAGTCGGAAGAGAACATGAGGGGATTAGTGACGTGCTCCATAAGGCATAAGCGGTTGTAGTAAGAGGTAGCAGTGGTTTCGGTTACGTCATCGGGCGTTTTCTACATGGTTCCGGACTAGCTTCTGAAGCGTTACGTGAGTTACTAACCCCATTCACAACTCAGAATGTCAGAGATTTAGCCGTCTGGGCCAAAGTACGGCCAAAGTCTGGGACACGAGGGCAGCCAACGGCACTCCGACTCCGAGCAGAGTATAAACTCCACTCGATGTTTTGAACCAATCAACCCCGCCAACGTGCCCGCCAGCTTTCCGTTTTTTGTCCCTCCCTGCGCACCTGGTAATGATCGGAACCGCCAAGATTGTCTTCATCGCAACAGAGACGGACCGTCACGGACACTCCGCTTGGAGGTGCTGCCTCGGGTCTTCGCGGAAGCAATTTCGAGGACATTCCTAAGTAGTAACCAAACAAATCTTGTCGCAACGCACGAATTGTCTGTACTAGAAACCGTATTCTCAGAATCCTAGGATGTCGTATAGCTTCCTTACCTTGGCCGCCCTGTTTTCGATGCCCCCTCCAATGATGAGAAGGTCAAAAGTAAGTAGAGGACATCAAAGTACCATATTATTGACAAAGGAGATGGTAGAGTCTGTATCAACGAGGAGGAGAACATGCATCACCGTCAGGACCTGCAAACGGCTCGCGCAGCAGCAAGAAAGAGTAGAATTGTCAAGTTACATATCCGTACGTGATGAGCACGAGAATCTGAATCATAGGTAAATATGCCTCTGCCATCCAAATTCGAAACACGAAACTTTCTAAAGCAAACCAATTACTTCCTCTGGACTAGTTCCTCAGGCGGAAACCCCTCCTGACTGACGGACTCGCCTAGCTTGTGCTTCCGTATATAGATCATTTAGCAGTTGGATTTCGTCAATGACCTTTGAAGGCTGATTGCCTTTGGCCACAGCTCGTAGACAGCTACTAGAGACGATGTAAACCTTTTGATCAGGTAGATTCGCCTCCGCAAGATTTGCCTTCACATTGTGGCGAGTTTCGTTGACGAGTTGCTCTCTCGCAGCCATGTACAAGGTTGCCTGTTGCGACCGATCGGCGTTTTCATCATCGCTCTCGTATCCCATCTCCCTTACGATATTTGAAATATGTTGGTCTGCTTTTGAACGAACGATGTAAGTGGGGATTTTGAAGCGCCTGCAATTGCGGAGAATAGCGATGTCGGTCTGGGTGAACCGATTGTCGAACAAGACGACAATGCAATCAAAGACGTAGAGTCCCTGCGCGTTGAAATATTGCCAATCCGGGATCCTAATTGTCCCTGCTCCAGGAAGATCGTACCAGACATGCTGACACCGCTCGTCAGGGTCTGAATACCTTCCCATCGTCAGGGTGGTCTCTATGACCCCTGTCCGAGCGGAACCAGCTGCGCGGTTACTCATGCCGCGGAATGCGTTTACGAGTGATGACTTCCCTCCACCGGCCCTCCCAGCGACAGCGAAATGGAATAAATTCTCCTGATACTGAATTTTTGCTTGGGCAGCGAGAATTTCTTGAGGAGTAGGCGTTAATACAGGCTGTATGCCGTCTCTAAGCCGCCTTTCAGCGTCTTCCTTGGCAGCTGCAGCCTCGCGAACATTGTTCTCAGCTACTTTTCTTACCGCCTCTGATTCTGCGACGGCTTCGGCGGCTTTCTTCTTTTCTTCTTCGGCTGCTCTCTGAAGACGTTCGGCGTCTAGTTTAGAAGCCTCTGCCGCTCTCTGAGCTTTTTCGAAAGCAGCTTGGGTGCGCTGCCTCTCCGCCTCAGCTTCTTGGGCCTTCCTCTTGGACTCCTCTGTTGCAACTCGTGCAGCACTTTCTGCAGCGAAATGGGCTGCATCTGCAGCTCTCACGGCGTCAAACATAGCCCTCATTTGCTCCTGAGTTTTCTGCTGCGCGGCTGCCGCAGCTGACATGGCCTCTTGCTGGAACCGAAGTGTCCTACTTTGTGTTGCTTGCATTGATTGTGTGAGCTGCGCCACCTCCACCCTCATACTGTCAAGGTCCCCAATGGCCCTATCCCGCTCTCTCTCAGCCCACCGGCGGGCTTCGATTTCAGCATAAGTTGGATTGGGAGCGCTGTCACCGCGACCGAAACCGAACAACTCCGATACTGCCCAGATCCCTACAGGTACGAGCCATGCCATTATCCTGCTTGCGCAAAGTGATCAGCGGTCGAACAATTGAAAAGAAAAGTCCGTACAACAGTGTGCGATTACTGCAATCTCCGAATGATTCGATGGGCTACCTTGAAAGGCTGGTGGATGACTCGTGTCGGCACTATATAGTTCAAATCCGCCAGATACTCAGCTCCATGTTGGCCTCGCGGCGGCGTAGCCACAGCTTGAATTAGTAACCCTCACCTTGGGTTATGGGGTGCTTGACCACACTGCACGCACGTTTTAGAAGGATACTCATATGGCATGATCGTCGCAAAGCTAAAACGGAAACAGGGCCTTCTCCAGATGCAATGATGTTATATTACAAATGCTTCTGAACGGCATGTTTGGGGTGCAGAAGAAATAATCGAGGCTTGACTGTATTGTACAAGCGCAGTGGAGAGGGCGCAATAGAGTGCTTCCGCCACTAGCAGGCACGAGATTTAAGCATGTTTGCCACTTGGAGACCGTCATTGTTAGTAGGCTGTTAGAGCTGTTGGTACGTGTTGCGCACGTGACGATCACCATACTGCTTTCGTAGTTAGCCTTTTGTCATCGAGGTCAAATCGAGGTGCTTGAGCTCATGTGAGCGTAGATGCGGCCAATCAAAAATTCATTCATTCGAACTCAAGGTACCTACAAGTGGCACCGAGTGGCTTCTTCTCAAATGCTGTTTTCGTTCAACTGTGACTTTGTAGATACTACTAATCACTTGCAGCACACTGGAGACTTGCCTGATTTCAGGTCAGCCAGGGCTAGTAGCCAGGGTCAGCCAAGCTGGTCTAAATCTTGATTTCGATCATCATACCAAGGACCCCTCTATGCTAGAGAGGCTGACCACGGTCGCTCTTGGCTAAATCCAAGTCAGACTCCTCTCAAGTCGCCGTTCATATCATAACCAGCACACCACCTCTACGCAGAGCGTGTCATCCACTCCTTTCGCAGTCAAGATTGCTGTCCTCCTAACATCGCAATTTGTATATGCTAGTATTTCAGTTCCGTTGCCCTCATGATGACTCCACAAACCGCCCCTGTTGCTCGCGACATCCATGATCGCATATGGTGTCAGCCTGTTTCCAGCGGTACGACCCTCTGTATTGGGGACATCGTTACAATCATCGGTGAGTCATTCTCTACGATGAAATGAAAGCTTCATCATACGCATATTTCAGTGATCAGTATTGTCTTTATCCTCGCACTTGCGTGTATTTTTTGGACATGGCGGATAGTTCATCGTCATGCTATCGCTGATCAGGAACAAGGTAAGGGCTCATTAGAGACTAGTATACTTTACCTCGAGGGATTGCGCCCTATTCACACCTTTTAACTTCTAGCTTCATCCAATCGCGATCCCTACAACGTAGTCTCGCCTTCACTGGATAACTCCGTTCTCGTCCGAAAGGGTATCGTACGTGAACCATACAAGCCGGTGCAAGCCAAAACAGCTGGACCTGACGTCTTCTGGTCACCGCAGGCCCAGCTGCCTGAACTCAAGTTTCATCTCGATCCTCTACCCGCCATGGAAGAAACGACAGAGATGAGAAACAACTTTTCCATTCGCCCATTTTCTTGTCACTTTCCATCGTCACCCTCTCCCCGTTCCAGCTTAGTATGTTTGAACCCGTCTCTGTTACAGTCACAGTGCTTCGGGGGTACGGCACACCTACCTACGCGGAGCAGCAGCCAGAAGTTCGACATGCTACCAGATAGCGCATGTCTTGAAGGCGATGGCGAAACCTCGCTTGGCAAAGCGATCCCAGCTGTACCCGGTGGCAGATAGTTCTCATTCGAGTGTGAAGTTCGCATAAGAGTCCTGAACTTGTGGATGACGGTGACGGGGTCGGGTTGGTTGCTGTGTGAAGCCATGATATGAGATGAAGTTGCTCTTACAGTACTCCCACTTTTTGCGTTCGAAGCACCTGTTTGCATTCTTCCGCGAACAAGAGTGTAATAGTCGACGGCAAAATAGATCACAATCGCATGCTGTCACGGTAATTGCGCCACCCGAGCCTACAGGCCTACTAGTAATATGGGCAAACCAAACAGGATCAGCATTTAATGTAGGTAGAAGTGACGAATTCATGCTCGAAAGAACCGCGCTAGGCTTATGGGTAGAACTTTAGAAGGCGCAGTAGAGTGCATCGTGGCACAAGCATTGAATAAGATGCTTACCCTGTCCCAGCTGGTGGCGTCAAGGCATATGGCCTGAGCTTGAACCTTGTGAGAAAAAGGAAATTATTTCAGGCGCAATCTTCCCCACTTCGTTAAAGTTCGTTTAAAGTATCATACGTTCACGTGGATTTAAAGCTGCCGCCGCATCAAAGCGTTGGAAATATCTAGAACACGAACAGAGAATGCTGAATATATATCAGAGTACCCCTGGTACTGGCACACATGCGTATATGCCACCCCTTGCCGATATCTGTGCCCACAGTCAATAGCTTAGTATTGACTTAAACTGCCACCAGGCTGATAAAGATGCCACCGTAATTGAAGTCCCACTTCTCTCTGCCAACACCCCATGCCAGAATTTTCAGACACCATCATCAGCCTCTTTGACGGTCTCAAGAAAAGAGAGGCCACCGGCGAGGTTTGTTCTCCATCTTACAGCTGACACGTGCTGAACACGCCCGTCTACATCATAGGGTGGCTTGCTCACTGGTTCTGATCCATCGGCCTTCGATGTCTCTGACCCGCTGAGATTATGGATCATCCAAGTTGGTGCGTATGCCATATGTGACCATCGCTTGGCATGATCTCACTTCAATTCAGGTGTCATTATAATGTTAGACCAGCTGCTTTCTCTGGGCTTAGGCAGGATGAAGCAGCCAAAAGTTATCGCCGAGGTGCTCGGCGGTATCCTTCTGGGTGAGTAATCCTCTTACGTTCTGCGTAAATATTTTATCTGATGGACAAATCTACGCAGGCCCAACGGCCTTTGGACGTATACCCGGCTTTACCCAACATATATTCCCTTCCCAATCACTGCCATACCTATCTCTCGTTGCTAATATTGGCCTTTGCCTGTTTCTCTTCATCGTAGGTCTCGAAATTGACGCCAGCATCATCAAGCGCAATGCTCGCATGTCAGCTATTGTATCGCTCGCGGGCATGGCTTTGCCCTTTGGCCTCGGTTCTGCCTTGTCTGTTCCCTTGTACCACCACTTCATCGACCCATCCGTCCAGTTCACGCATTTCATGCTGTTTACCGGCGTCGCATATTCCATAACCGCTTTTCCCGTACTGTGTCGTATTCTTACTGAGCTCAAGCTCTTGGATACCACTGTTGGCATTGTTGTCCTCTCAGCTGGCGTAGGCAATGATGTCGTGGGCTGGACTCTCCTGGCGCTCAGTGTAGCGCTCGTCAACGCTGGTTCCGGTCTTACTGCCCTATGGGTATTACTCACATGCGTGGCATTCACAATATTTCTTTTATTGGTCGTCAAGAGAGTGATGCTCTGGCTTGCCAGAGCTACAGGCAGTACAGATGATGGTCCTACTATGTTTTACATGACTGTTGTTATGATCTTGCTTTGGGCATGTGCGTTCTTTACGGATATCGTGGGCGTCAATGCTATTTTCGGTGAGCGCTGGTATTTCATTATATAATCTTCAGTTTGTCATCGCGCATAGGTGCATTCCTAGCCGGTATTATTGTACCGAGGGAGGGCGGTCTCGCCATTGCTTTGACGGAGAAGCTGGAAGATATGGTCACCATCATATTTCTGCCTTTGGTATGTTCATCATCTCTGTCCCCTGTCTGGTCATTCATGCATTCCAGTATTTTACCCTCTCAGGGCTGAACACCAATCTTGGACTCCTTGATGACGGTCGGTCATCTAAGTCGCCTTGTTCTTATATATTTTTCTTATATAACTTTGCGTGTTGCAGGTATCACTTGGGCTTTTACAATCGCCATCGCATGCCTTGCATTCTTGGGCAAGTTTGGTGGATGTACAATTGCTTCAAGGTTGTCTGGTTTCAGCTGGCGTGAAGCCAGTACAATTGGATCACTCATGAGCTGTAAGGGGTAAGTATCTAAATATTTTGGTATTCTTGTCTGCTAAATCGTGTTACTCATGTCACTTAGTCTCGTTGAGCTAATCGTGCTTAATGTCGGTCTCTCCGCTGGCGTTTTGTCCCCGAAAGTCTTCTCCATGTTCGTGCTAGAAGCTTTGACACTCACGTTCATGACCACCCCACTCGTCAGAGCATTGTATCCTCCAGAACGGCGTGTCATCGCCACTTCAGGCGGGGCTCCGCCCCAAACTCGTGACGACGAGGGCGGGGATCTTGATGCAGACAAGAAATCTTTTATGAATGAGGAGCAACCCTGGCGGTATCGCTTTACTGTCGTTCTCGACAAACTCGAACATATGCCGTGCATGATGGCCCTCACACAGCTCGTCCGTCCTCCTGTACCAGATTTCTCCTCAGTTGTATCCATGTTTGCTACATCTGACCCAGCTCCGTTGAAGTACAGGACGCCCGAAGTGAGCATCAATGCACTCCGCCTCATCGAGCTCTCGGATCGTACGTCGGCCGTGATGAAATCGTCTACTGCAGATACGCTTATCCATACCGATCCACTCCTGGGCATATTCCGCATGTTCGGAGAGCTGAATGATTTGCCTGTATCGTCATCGCTCGCCATCGTGCCGCACGATGATCTTGCTTGCAACGTTGTGGATCATGCCAAGCAAGATGCATCTCAGCTCATACTACTCCCGTGGTTGCCACCTTGCGCTAGCATTGCTGAAACAAGCGAAGGCGCGACACTACGGCGAGAGAAGTTCGATCACAACCCTTTCGAGGTCATTTTCGGTACATCAAGGGATAAGTCTGCGTCTGCCATTCACTCGCAGTTTGTACGTGGGGTATTCGCACAAAGTGAGACAGACGTCGCCCTGTTTGTCGATCCTGGAAATCACCTCAACACGGGTGCGAAGACAGGCAGCTCGTATCACGTTTTTCTTCCATTCTTTGGCGGCCCCGATGACCGCCTTGCGCTGAAATTCGTGGTGCAGCTCTGTACGAACCCGAAGATCAATGCAACGGTGGTGAAGATGGAAAAACGCGAGATTGAAAACATGCAAATTGAACGACCTTCTACGACCCACTCTGATGTCAAAGCTGATACCAACTCACTCGCACTTGCTCATCAACAAGGACTGACAATATCATCGGTGAGTGCGACCACATGAACCGAGTAAACATTTTCATCCTCGATGATGCAGATAATAGCATTTCCAGACACTGTCTACGGGCAGACCAACACCCAAATGCGCATGCAGTCCGAAACAGCCGACAGCATCATTTGGTCAGGATATGCGGGCCGCAATCTATCAGATCCGGACATACCTGGGCCATTGCGTGCCGCGCTTTCACGGATCGATTTCACGAACCTTGCATCTCCCGTCCCGCTGCACGCTGCAATCCAGCGTGCATCTATGTGCCAACGGGTATTGGTTGTCACTGGACGGTCGAAGCGGCTGGCAGTGGAGGACCATCATGTTGAGTTGAAGGATCTTGTGGAGGAGCATAGGGTGGTGGGGCATGAGGTGATGAGTAAGACGATCGGGGATGTGGCAACTGCATTTGTAGTGTCTGGGTGCCCGAGTGCGGTGGTTGTGCTGCAGGCTGCGAATGTGGGGATGCATTAGTTGGGGTGTAGGTGGTGTGTTGTTCAGAGCGGGATTCGACAGAGTTTACCCTATGCGTTGCTAATTTTCATGAGATGTAGGCATGTTGAGACAGGACTCAAAATCATACCATACCTCGACGCATGGTTTTACTGTATGTTACTGCAGTTATGTAATTTGCATGTTTGCTTTATAGTAGCGGCACACCAGGCCTGGGTGCCAATAACGAACATGAACTTACACATTTATCAAGGTACATGGGCATGCATGAAAGATATACAAGATAGGTTCAACTATGAGGACGTTCTCTTATTTGTAGCGAAACGCGCAAATTTGTCGGTCGCTAATGTCGTTCAACGCTATCGATTTACCACATGCGGGGGGATGCACACGTCCACTGGATGTACTCGTCAGATACGTGTCGCAAGTTGGTCGTTGGGGGGTGGCAGCGGAAAACCACCATGCTAGAATTGAACGGAATGGGGGGTAGTGGGACGAGGGGACGAATAGTGATGCTTGGAGTTAATTGTACGAGTCAGTAGTGCACCAAATTCTAACCCGAACGGAACGTTGATGTCGCAAGAACCATTCATCAAGGTAAAGACGATTATGAAAGCAGAAATACAAAAAAGACAACACCCGGACGAAAAGGTATACCACAGATATCATATCATGCCTTGCTCTTCTTTTTCTCCTTGTCTTTCTTGTCTTTTTTCTTTTCTTTTTTCTCAGAGGTGCCATTCTGAAGAAGGAAAATTAGCCAAGGCCGCGATTATTCGACAAACTCAAGCATACATGAGGAGCAGCAGCAGCAGCCTCGGCCTTACGTGCTGCTTTGGCTGCCTTCTTCAAAGCCTTCTTCTCCTCCTTGGACACCTTCACCTTTTTCTCCGCAGGTTCTTCATCCGCTTCGTCCACATCCATAGCATCTCTTGACCTCTTCTTTTTCTTGTCCTTCTTAGGCGTGACGTCAATCAATGGCAATATAGGCTCTGCATCATCCATCTGAGCGTCTGGCTTATCCTCCATATCCTCATCCTCATCATCCTCCAAGTCTAGTGCGAGACTATCGAGGACTTTGCGGATGGCATCGACGTTCTTGGTCGGTGGTGCACCGGTCTCGAAGAAATTGAGACGCTCTTCAACTTGTGTGCGAAGGGCCTCACCAAACTTTGCGGATGGGTTATCTGGGTATTTTTAGTAAGGGGTGAGTGTGTGAAGGTGAGATGGGAGTTACCCGAGTAGCAGTCTATCCGGGAGGCAATAGAGCATTTGTTTGCGAGGAACCGGGATATCCGGCCTTTGTGCTTGGGGTCTGCACGGCCAATGAAGGAGGAGTGGTATAGCAGACCGTACTGTATTGAAAAATTAGCTTGATTGACGCTTAGGATGGAGTAACGAACCTTGGGGGTGTTGCCTTTGGTTTTCAACGCCCGGAACAGCGCCTTCTCTGCACCAAGGATCTGCACGGTACTAGCAGGGTACTTGCTTAGATTCGTCAAGCTACCCGCATGGCTGATTAACCGTGCGCCTATCCGTTCTCCCAATAGCGCAGTAAGAGACGGAGCGACGAGGTTCATTTTCTCGCTTAGGTAGGTGACGAGAGATTTACGGTAGTCAGCGATGGAAACGACGCGGGTTGCGAATGCAGAGATGTTGAGCATGTCGATTTCGGATATGGATGAGCCCATTGAGCCGCGGGCGGCGTCGAGGATATTTTGTGCGAGAGTGGAGTCGTCCTCCAAGAGAGTAGTGAGCTCGGGTAATTTTTCCTCATCCAAAGTGTCCTTATCGCCTATGAATTGCGCGATGCGGGCGTATTGGTAGTTGTCTGGGACCAGTTTGACAAGTTCGGGGAAGTGATAGCCGTACCACTCTCGTATGCGCATGGCAAACAAGTTGACGTCCTTGTCGAGCTGGTCGAGGAGGGCGATGGCTTGTATGATCATGTTGTCCACACGGTTGACATTGAACTTCAATTTAGCGCGGGAGTAGGAGTGACCAAGACCAAGTTGGGCTTTGATGAGGTCGGTAGCATCGAGGCCTTTGAGAAGCTTTGGTGCATGGAAGCGGATGCCGCGAAGGACTTCCTGTGAGGTTTCAGAGGCGTCACATTTAATGGCGAGGTTTTCGAAGATGGCATTTGCCAGTCCGACTTCTGAGACTGCAAGGATTATCTTGGAGCCTTTTTTAGGCTTCGAGAGATTAAGCTCGAGGAGGGATTTGAGATGATCACTGAGAATGCCTGGGGATCATTGAAATTGCTGTGAGCACGAGGAATGTGTCCAGTTATACGTACCTTCTGAGATATCGTTTATGTTCTCGAGAGCGTCCGCTGCATTTTTGAATGGCGAGAAACTGACGAGTGTGACCATTTTGCCGAATTTTGAGAGGTCATTGATGGAGTCCTGGACTGCTTTGACACGCGAGCCAATGTTTTCATGGAGTTTTACATCAAAGATGGCATATCCCGATGCTGACTCGAAAAGTGCGTGGGTCGCCATCGTGGCCTATGCTGAGCTCGTTGTTGAGGACGACTGAAATTTTGAATCGGCAATTTCCGAACATCTGGTTGCCAAATGTGGAATCACTCTTGGCATGTCGCACCGTGTAAACAAACCGAAATATGTCACATGTATGAATTGGGGTGCAAACATAAGCACGGATAAGCATTCCCTGAGCTCCCAAGGTGTGAGGCCTAGGATCCCTAATATTTCTGACCACAATGGAGCCTCGACTGCCGCCACCTCCATCCAACGATAAAGTCGATTCTCGCCCCTACAAATGTCCTTATCCTCTATGCGGTCGTGCTTTCAGTAGACTAGAACACCAGGTAAACCTGTCATCCCTTTATTTATTTATTATCCTCTACAGACAACGTGCTGATCTCATATGATCGACATCTTATAGACTCGTCACATTCGCACTCATACAGGCGAAAAACCCTTTGTCTGCACTTTTCCATCTTGCGAGAAACGTTATTCTCGTTCAGACGAACTCACAAGACATTCACGCATTCACAACAACGATAATTCTTTGTCTGGTGCTTCAAATACCAAAGGTAAACAAAAGGCAAAACAAGATATCTCAATCATAGATGATCACACCGGCCCAGGCATCAACCTACATTCCTTACCTCGCTCAGACCCTCAAGGAACTTCTATCAGAGTAAAGAAGAAGGCTAGAAGTAGAGCAAATAGTGACGATGAGGTATCTTCCATTTCTCTCTTTCATCCAATAAAAATAACCCTCTGATTCTAGGCTGAATCATATGCTCGTCCAACTTCATTTGCCTCTCATGAGCCTTCTCACCGAAGACGCTTACAAACCCATGTCCCAGTTTCATCAAACCCTTCCGCTTTTTCAACCGAACGAGAAGAGGCTCTTCGCCGTGCAGAGTATGAAGCCGGTATCGCTGCGATAATCTACCCCTGTGAACGTGCATCAACAAGAGCCTCCGATTCCCCCATTTACTTCACAGCATCTCTCAAGGGCCCAACTACTGACAGCTATCTCGGTGTTTCAAGCATCTGTGATTGGGATGAAGACAAAGACATCAGATCCGATTTCGACAACCTTTCTATTTTGAGTTCCGATTCCGAAACTGTCGTCCCGCGACATCTACGATCCCATTTCACATATTCCGACCCTCTGGAGTCCTCCCCATCCTCTAGCATTCAAAGTACAAAATTTACCTTCACACCAAGTACAAGCCCATTTTCATTCTTCGACCCACTTCGCACCCCCAATTTCTATTCAATCAACCCATCAAGGGCCCCGTCATCTATCTTGCCACCCCTCATGGATGTGCCTATCAGCTCTATAGACAAACCTATCAGCCAACGCTCCCGTCGCTCCAGCATTGTCAGCAGTCCCCGATTGAGTGCGATCCCACATGGGACCTTGTACACTCTACTGAGCAATCTTCTCCCGTCAATTACGGAACCTTCGAGTCAAGACTATATCTGGGCCTTCTTTTGCAGATTCGTTCCCCTCAGTGCTTTGTTTGACTCGCCTGGTCGCGGACCTCTACCAATGATTCGACTAGGCAGTGATCGTGCTCGCCTCGTTGAAAGGCTCGAAGCAAACTTCGAGAACCCTAGTAATGCTATGTCATGGCTACACGGACCTTCCGGTACAGGAAAATCTGTCATTGCGTACACTCTTGCCAGTCGTTGCAGACAGAAAAATAGATTGGCAGGCAGTTTTTTCTTCTCTCACGGGCATGCAAACTGCAGAAACGCGCGTTCTCTCGTGTTCGCACTTGCATATCAACTTGGGCTGTCTCAACCGCAGGCGAAAAAGAAAATTGTTGAAGTCCTGGGGAGCGATCCTGGTATAATTTCTCCTTCTCGGGACTTGCGCGAGCAATTCACTCGGCTCCTCATTGAACCTCTGGAGGCAGATCGGCACCCTCCTTCGAAGGTGTTCATCATTGATGCTATGGATCAATGTCAAGACCAGGTGCCCGAACTTATTTTACTCCTCACTCGACTTCTCTCCCATATGGTTGATGTGGGCCTTCACGTTTTCTTCACAAGCCGTGACTATATGAAGGGAGTCTTGATCAACCGTCATCTCTCTCCAATGATATCGGACATTGCTCTGGATGACATTACTAGGGATGTTAGATTATTCCTCCACCAATCTTTCGATAAGATACACAAACGTCACCGGCTTCAATGTTGCAAGCCATGGCCACCGGAAGAGGTGCTCGGCCGTCTAGTGAATAGAGTGGGACCCCACTTTATTATAGGATCCATCATCGTAAAATTTGTTGAAAGCTTTGACCATGACCCCACAGACAGGATGGATTTCATTGATCATATTTCTTTCAATTCATCGTCACCTTCAGAGTCATCAGTGTATGATTTCTACAAATCCATCATATCCGCAGCCGACGACTCGGGGCAAGCATACCTTTATCTCACAATTGTTGTGAATCTTACTGGCACGCTATCGTATTCGCAACTAGATGACCTTCTTAATCGAGGGCCAAACCAGAAGTTTGACATGCGTTCCGCGTTGTCTCAATTGTCACCTCTGGTCCATACCCCGAATGGTCCCGACAGTGCTGTGCAAGTCTGTCACGAATCCCTTTGCGAATTTCTGTCCGACCCCCTGCGCTGTGGAGAGCAGTTCATCTCTGGAGCCGTGGTTCATCGTCTGCTGGCTTACTCTTCCTTGAGTGTCATGATGGAGGAGTTACCGAACGACAGCACTCTCTGTTCCCGTTTATCCCAGTCAGTGACGGAAAGCAGCTCCATGTCGCTCCGTGTCTTTGACAATGCAGAAATTCTGTCATTTGCGATGTATTCACCGCCAGAGCCTCTGCCATTTTTGTCCATGCTCGGGCACATCATGCAACGTCAGTATCCGGAACTTCAGGTTGATTCTCGCACAAAATCGGCTCTACTATATTTCTGTCATACCTGGCAGATTTTACAGAACCTCGACTTGTCCGCGGCTGACACCTTGCCTGCCTTCCGCTTCCTAGCGAACATTAAATCCCTACCTATACTCCTGGCCTTTCCAATATTTCTGGCATTTGAATCTCCTAGAAGTGGCCAAACTCTGGGCCCGTCGATCTTAGAGTACGACTCTCGCATAGAAATCTTGGATGCAGTGGCCGAAATTGTGACCAATGTGCATGCCCTGAAGGATCAGCGCAAAATGGGCTCGGGTGCACTCGACTATGCTTGTACTCACTGGGTGTATCACCTTTCTTTGGCGGAGTGGGATGATGACCTCCGCTCTATCGTGACTACCTTCATGAGACAGAAGCTCCGACAGTGGCTCGTGAAAGCATGGTGCCTCCAGGATTTGGAGACCTGCCTTCAGACGTTGTGCAAGGTTCAGGAGCTTTGCTGGGCAGTTAATCTGCCTATCCATCTTGATCCTGATGCACAATGTACCACTGCGGACACGAAGACTCAGGAGGACGCTGAAAAGGCTAGTTTGGCGGCACAGAGTGTGAAAGAAGTCGTAGATTATGTTAAGGTTGAGGACCACTATTCCCCAAGCAATCCCATCCCGGCTATCGGCATTAAGCACGTTCACTCGCACTCAGATGCCAGCATGACTCGCCCCGTTGCGAGCCAAGCTATACTTGATGCCAACCAACGACGTGGACGCCACGAAGCTACCCATAGGTGCGATGAGTGTGGGCAAACATTTACAGCTTAAAACGTAAGTTCTTTCTACTTCCTTTTTATGGTGTCGCTGAGATAAATACAATAGGCCATATGCAGCTTCACACTGGTGTTTGACCATTCGTCTGCAGCAATCCTGGCTGTGCTCAGGCGTTCTTCAATCAGAACGACTGCAAACGCCATAAGCGAAGCAACAAGCGGCACAAGGATCTCCCCTTTTCCAACTCACCTTAATCTTGGGGTTATGTTACAATCCCTTCACTTGGGTCTGCCAAACGTCCTGGTTGTTGTACACGTCATGTTGGAACTGGACACTCCCTTGTGTGCATTCATGTCTTGGATATTCCTGCACGCAGAAACGACAGCCATACCCTCCATGTTATCCTGCCTTATTTCCTCACCACGCCGATCTCCAAATTCGGCACGCTCAATATTTCATCTAATTTCAACCACAGATGCCGTTGATAGTGCATAACCCCCCGAAATCAATATCCATTATTAAGTATGAGATTCCATGCATAATTTAGTGGGGACCAATGTACTGTATACATCATCGTAAAACAGAATTGTAAGCAAATTACTCATTGAAATCAATGGTCTGTGCAACGGTCAGGATAGCTATGCATGATTCTAAACCCTCCAAGTACCACTGTCTTTCAAACCATGAAAGTAATTTATCCTGCCAAAAGGTACGCAGAAATATACGCAGGCGTTTATCCACGGCTGTCGAATCCTGAGAGAGATACCAACCCCAATACTGGCAAGCATGTCTAAGGGCTGGTGAGCTTGAAAAATTTCGCTCGCTTCCCTCCCGTACGTATTGCACGAAGTGCTTGAGCGCCGGAGGTATGTCTGACTCATCTATCGAATTGATATTATTGGAGGCGGAAGGGTGAGCGTGACGAATTGCCAAGAGTATCACGATGATCAATATTTTTGGTAGAGCCTGTAATGTTGACAGGAGTTCGAAGACGTGTAAGTCGCGAAATTCGGATTTCGCTCGGAAGTTCATCAATGCCGACCGAGCCGTCGATATGTCCTCAGACATATGACAGGGCTGGACAGTAGGCGGAGCGCAGCAAGTAGTGCCAGTCCCTGACTGCGCATACTCGTGGTACCATGTGGCCGCATATATGGTCTTGTTGCATGACTGTGCTAAACAAAACTTCAGGAAACCCATTAAAACCTGTGCAAATGTTAACGTGAGGATAGCATGTGTTTGTACTATACGAACATGATCTGATTGTGGACCTGCTTCAATAGGTATCTTCGTCAGTGTCACCATTTGTTGTAGCTCATCTTTCAGGCCAGACTGGCGCAGGAATGAACTTCTCATCGTACGCAGACTGGACTGTGCAAGGAGCTGAGATGCACACGACGAAGACGGATGTTGGGAAAGAAACTCGCGAAGTGACTCTATGTGGAGAACCTCGACAGGGCGAGAATCATCAACAGGGACGCTGACTATTGGGGATAACGACGCGAGAACGGACAATAGATCACTTTCTGAAGATCCTAGAAGCTTCCGCAAGTGCAGGATTGCTAATGGTTTAGCGAGATTGACCACCGTGGACAGATGTCGGTATGCACGGTTTGGATTTTCTGACAGGTTGATCACGAACTCGTAGAACCGAAATATCTGGGTGGAATCCAGATATGCATCACCAGGATCCTTCATAAGGTCAATTTTTTCATCCAAATTGCACGGCACTTCGTCGTCATCATCGGTCTCGAGGAATCTTATCATCATTGACGCACCCCTGAACCGACCGCTTGCCCTGTCAGCGAGACAGAGGATTGTCTGATCATCGGACTCTAATCCATGGTATTCGAGTCCGTGATGCCTATAACTCTTCTCCAGAGCGCACTTGAAGAGAAGACGAAGGTCTTCAGTAACATCGACATCATCGAGAGCGATGTGATGTATCGACTCCTCGCAGCCAATAGCTTCGAATGCATCATCAATAGCGTGAAGAGGACGACTAGTGATGACGATGTGCAAGTGCGGGATGTGCGGCTGGTGGAGGAGGTTTGAAAGACATGAAATGAACTCGCAGATGCGTCCTTCTTCGCATGCGTCAATCGCATCGATTACAAACGCCTTTGGTTCCAAATGCCTCCATGAAACCTGCAAATTCTGCAACGGCTTGACTAGTAGTCCTTGAATTTGTTCAGTAAACGACCTCCTTGGATCGAGGATAATAGGGTCGGATCTGATTGATTGGATCACAGCGTCTTTTGCCAAGTGTTTACTTCTCGAAATTTGGTAAGCCAAGGTAGGCGCAAAGAAATCAAGGCTGGCCATGCCTGGGATATCTTTATGTTGGCGGCTGAAGAAAAACGTGCCAGCCAATTTCGACTTTTTTTTGAGGCGACTAGCGATTGTATGGGCAATCGCAGATTTCCCTGTCCCAGGAGAGCCAGAGAGCCAAATCAGCGTACTGCTTTCTGCCTGCAGAGCTGTCTCGATTTCTTCCAAGATTTTTGTGCAGGTGCCATCTAAACAATCCCGAGGGCCCCACTTGGGACAATCATATAATGCGTGATGGACAACGACCGCACTTAAGGATTCGAAGATCTTTTCTTCGCTGCTGGTGTCGGCTACCACTGTGCGAACAGCGCTGTATATCATAACGCAGGGAAAAGGCGAGAAAGGCAAGAGAATCGACACCTGCAATCTAGTAAATCAGTAATCAGATTGTGGTGGAATGTACACACTGTTCTTAATTGAAAGTTCTATGTACTGTCAGAACACCGAAGATCAGATCTCAAGCGATGCGTGTAGTTCGCGAAGGGCGCTAAATCGTGCAGTACATATTGTCAAATTTCAAGTCATACAAAACGAAGGAGATTGGATGCTCACTCGAGAGCTCTGCAATGCTCAGACAATGCTCAGACAATGCGCGATACAGCTGATGCGGATCGAATGGGGTTTGAAATTTGAGAGCTGCTAGCTATGGGATACATGAGCACAACAGACCTTCCTTGTCTAACAATCAGGTTACCTCGGTACCTCGCTGCTTTTAAATCTCGAGTAATGAAGATGGCGAAATCTAATATCGTGCAGTTTGTATCAACCAAGAGAGAATTTTGGCGTGCTGCTGCTACGCAGAGTAGGTGAAGTCGTGGATCATACACCGATACAGCAACGACATGCTTGGGCTATCACTGGCGCTTCAGCGTTTACTGATTGTGGACTGCCGAATAGGAACCTTTGGGACATGACTGCCGGGAAAGCACCTCTTTTCGGGACGTTGACCGGGACCCCTTGAAATGTTTACCACGATCACGTGGACTAGTTATACTGCAGTGCTTACTAGTTTCTCCGAACTTCCTGTGTTCTCTGACAATCCTCCTGTTACGGGTATTCTCTAGACGATTCGACAGTCTTAAAATGGACATCGGCCGAACGGAAGCTGGCACTTGGAGAGAGGGAGGCTTTTCAGTGTTGACAGCAGTTTAGGCAGCCCCGAGGTACCTCACTGGCAGGAAGTTTGACTGAACATGATGGTATCACTCAAATGACCAACTTGCGGGTGTTCATGCAATGCGTCACACATTTTGGTATGTGCACAGCTTGAGGTGCAATCTTGTGATGACACTACATAATCATGCGAGGTCGCCGGACAGAATTTCGATAGAAGAATTTCAGGCGCTGCTGGGCTGTTCTCCGCTAGCGACTTCTTCGATGTCTTTTATTCATTTCTATTGGTGCAGTCGCCGTCGTCCTTTGGTCGCGATCATCTCGGTGACGACTCACGGGGTATGCGGTCTTGCTGTGGGCTATTTATAGCGCCCACTATCCTTCTTGGACAGAAGGCTCTGATATGATCTGTGAGGCCATCCCACTGCAATGTGTCTCGGACAATGTACTGTGGTGTTACGTTTCCAGACCTTTCGGTATCTCTGATTTCCCCGCACCTGATGACATCCGGGAAAGGTAGGGTAATTCACAGAACTGCCTCGTTACATCACGACCCAAAACTAATCTTCGATTCTTGCAAGGAGGCATACGGCCCGGCTGCTCCTGCCTGCGAAATGATGGGCAATGACACCAAGGTCTCAGCGATTATTGGGTTCTATGACAGTTGCCAAATTTGACCCTCTGTCCATGACATATACAAAAACGCATGCATCAATGATGAGTCTTGGTCGAGTGTCACAAGAACGTGAGATTTCAATTACGCCCCGTAACCTGCTAGTGAAGTTTCACTGTGGTCAATCCAATCTCCCTTAGTCACGAGGGGTTTGATAAGGCCCATGGGGTGTGATATGGGTCGGCTACGTTATGGCACGCCCATTCATAAGGTTTCAGAAATCCTACATGGGGCAAGGCCGATAGCTAGTTCCGCCTGTTCCAGTTTCCCAAAATGTTGTGGAGCTGCGAATCTGAAATTTCTTCTGGAGTCCACGCTCCAAAGCGCCAAGTTCCGGTGCCAGCGCTTCTCGCATCACCTCGGGCTAGCAGTGTACAGATGTGTCTCAGCATTGAGGATTGTCGATCAAAGACCACAGCTATACAGCTTCGAAGCTCATAACCTGTACTGCAACTGCCCCAGCACTGCCCACTTTCCTTGGAATCTTGCTGTGGCAATTAGGCGCCAAGGCGTTTAAGCTGGAATGGCACGCAGGCCGCAGGGATGCTTTCACTGGGTAATTCTGGACCAATGTTGTGTGCTAACATGGTGACGTGCCTATACCACATGTTGAGCGAAGCTGACGTGGTTTATCTTCTGTTTGATTCCAACACGCGTAAGCAGCTAGATTGACAACATGCTGTTTAAGCCCCTTAAGGAGCCTCGTGTATATCATTAGCAGTTTCTTGGGTGTATACCATTTTGGGATGTATTTACGCCCCGTCCTGCCTCGTGGTAGTATGGAATGTATATCTCGCCGCTTGCAAAGCCGCTCGTGGCTTTTCAGCTTCTTGTGTCTTTCTTGGTCCATATAAGACGCAGGGACTGACTGCGCGAGCCCCCGGTGGGACTTCAGAGGCTACTCTGCACATTTCTTCGGCAAAAGGCCTGTTCAGGTAAGTTCCCCATCATCCACTCAGTGGCAAAGTTCGTACACATGGTATAACACGTTGCATGATGATCTCCAGCTTTCGCCCCTCGTACATCTTGAAATCTACTACAAAAGTTTCGCCTCCATTTGCAACTGTAACGACCTTCATGTTTAAGACGAAGCACGACATAGGGAGTCCTAATTACAATCTCAACACTCCAAAGATACCCCCCAAGGCGCTTCCACAATCGCCACCACTCACGTCCCCTCGTTCTTTCAGCAGGGCCGAGCACCGTTCGTTCACGATGTTCAAGCCCTCTCTTTCAGGCTCAATGTCACGGGCGCACACGCCCAAGCCTTCAACACCACTGCCCCTCAAGTCTATCCTGAAGGGAAAGACTTCCCCTCCTCGTGACTCATATGACAGCGACGGAGAAGTCGCGGCCGCCAAGAAGGGTTCGCGGAATAACGTCTACACAGTGCCCAACTCCCCTCCGCAACATGCACACTTGGGTGAGTCCTTGGTCCAGCTCATTCTCTCTTTTCACCATTACGTACCTTATCTGATCTTTTACCCGATAAAGGTCCCATGAAGGGTCCCGCACTAAACCTTCACTGGAAGCTGCTCCCCTACCATCCAAAGCGATCAAAGCGATTTCTTCACTTCGATGTTGCATTTCCAACTCACGACATCGAGTTCAGGCAGAACTCGTCTTATGGTGTTCAACGAACAAGCTTGTCTGATGCCGACTTTGATAAGTCGGCTGCAGATGAAAAGTTGGTCAAGATGACCATCAACTTCCAGCGAGGCCCATTCGAGTGGGACATCGACGTGAAGCGTGATAGAGGCATTCGTGTCCGCGATGTCTTTGAGGCGATACATGCAGCTTTCGACGCACCGCTCACACCCCATGAGAAAAGCTTGATTCCGCACCACCGCCGTGCGGTATACGAAGAGGCGTTCAGGCTTCGTTGCAAGCTAGCGGCAGGGCTTCCTATCGTCGAGCAACGCAAAGGCTGGAAGCGCGTAGACATGCTTCTGCATGAGACCCTCTTCCGTGGTCTGACGCAGCCGAAGTCGGGAGGAGACTGGGTATTGAATCTCAGCGGGTCGGTGCCCGTATACGACCGCTAAAGAACCTCACGATCATTGCATATTTTTTTCTCTCTCACTGTATTCTTGGTGAGTACTTTCAACACCACGACATGATATAACGAACTTTGAACTAATGTCCGTTTTCATACAGAACTGGATTTCAGCCACGCTCATTTGGCTTCATCGCATCGCATCGCATCTTATCAACTCTCGCTCTTCGATTATCAACACCCCTCAACAATCTGTCCCTTTTTAATTTTGCCCATATTTCTAAAAGTGTTATGACCTATCCTACTCATGTGTTGCAGCCTTCTCGCTGCCTGGTTCATAGTAGCGTTGGCCTAGACGGAAGACGCTCCCTACTCTGTACTTTCTCGCGATCCTGGTTTCCTTGTCCTCTGGACTCTGTCCAGGATCGATTTGTGCCGATCAAAGATACCAAGTTACTACTGTTCAGCAGTGTACATCATGTTCGCATTTCCTTTCTCATAGACACTTTCCCTCGCAAAGGAAGCAATAAAACATCCGTTTTATGTGTCGAAACAGATAGTGTCTTCTAACAGCCGTCCGTGGAGGACGGAAAAGTGTCAAATTCTGGAATTCACAATCAAGACTACATACCATTCTCACGACTTACAGAACCTAAGCGAATAGGACGGAAGGCTTCAAGAATCACCGGACCAAACTTGAATCGTAAATCACTTACGTTTGACAGGTAGGGTCCAGTTAGGCTGACAATCGATGCGTCGTGGTGCTTTGAATAGTCGCCGATAAACGCAACTACGTCTCCATCTAATTTCCATACCTCCAGCCTCATGTTGATGGGGGCGAGCAAGATAACCAGATGTGAATCCTGTAGGAGAGCAAGAACTTTGCTCCAGTGATAACGGGGAAGTCGGGGCACGGCGAATTCATTCAAACGTTTAATGAAAAGTTAGTGTTAGAATTTAGAAGGACGATTTCCCTGCTCTGCCATCACAATAAATAGCTCACTGTTTGTTTTCGGATGCTGACGGCAAGGCCCCCGCAGGGCGTTCCACATCTACCCTATACATGGTTCACCGCCGATCAGGTTTGTGCAGCCTATGAATTCCTCGTATCAGGTAAGTGCTAGGAGATCGGGATGTGCATGTGACCTGATGTCCATGGATATGGAGCTTCAGGGTAACCGCCGCTCATCCAGGTTAGCTTTTCTGGATGTGAAATCGGCTGTAAGCTGATGCACCAGTTATCAAGTATGAATTCTTGTCTGTTCTTACACGCACGGAGCGGAACAAGTGACGTGTGATAAACTGGATCAAGACTAGGTCAGAAGGCGTATTTGTGCGGATGGACTGACGTGTAGACCCTTCAATCACCGTACTATTTTTCCTGATGGTACGCAAAGCGCCCACTCTGAAGGGTGCTATCAACTGATCGATAGGAAGAACCCAAGGAATGACTTATCATCCTAGAACAATTTCGAATTCAATGAGTAGATGATGATAAGTTGATCTATGATGGCGCCTTAAATGAAGTAGTACGAGGTC